GATTAGATTTCTTAGTCGCATGAGGACAGCAATTCTTTGACTGGCCTTCTTGCATGCTGAATTTACATGTTCAGAAAAATTTAATCTGGAATCTATTGTTACTCTATTGTTACTATAGGAAGTAGTGATGTTTATTTGGCATGATGGTTTTTACTGCATGGCTAGGTGGGTGGGGGGATAAATTTGCCTATATCAAACTTACCTACACATTCAGATACACAATCAATTTGCATGCATGTGTAACTAACAGAAAAGAAAATATTACTAAAATCATGAAAACCAACATACAAGTTGCTACCCTATGTTTTTCCTTCCTGCAACTCACTTCCATCCTCTTCTGCCTTCCTCCATGTAAGTAAGTAATGACCATTCTTGAAATTTCTGTTAATAAACTCACCAAAAACCTGTTGGGAAGTCCATTAAAGCAAAGGTCAGTTAAATTTAACCAACTGGAGGTCTGCTTCCAGGCATGGCAAAATCCGTGATATTAATTTACTCTTCCAAGCACATTGACACTAGTGATGCTACAATATTTGGATTGTGTGTACAGTAGATAGTCTTGGTTATAGGTTGGTCAATGTCTGGGTGTATGGTTGATTGACATGTACATAGAAATTTGGTAGAGAGTTGATTAACAGAGCATCGTTATACACCAATAACAACAAACCAAGGTGCTCTAAATAGCTACAAGTAAACCTTTCAACCTTGTAGCCTGACTTGACAAAGACTAGCAGTGCAGCAGTAAAAAAGTTGTGATCAACACTCGATTGATTAGCCTGACTCTTTCATTGTAAGACAAATGATTGCACATTCATTTTCCATAACAGTTGGTTGATAGTTGCTCTACAGGCAGCTTATTGGTGACCATACCTTCATTGATAGTGGATTGACTTCTCAGTAGAGATTTTGGTTGACTATTGAGACACCAAGACACATGTCTTCTACCGGAAGAGTATTACCAAACTATTGGCTGATTATTGGTCAGCTATTGTCTGACTGTGTGCTGACTAGCAACCAATTATCTACAGTGTATTCCTATAACTACCACCTGTAATTATCTACCAATGTGTTAATCAACTCTCAATTAACATATCAACTGATAAATTGACTGTTCTATTGACCAAGGATAATCACCGTACATATGATCTGGGTAGTCTTTGTCTACTCACAAAGGTGTATACTTCTGAAAAATTAATGATTTTAAAGTCAGTGTTTAATGATGAACACCCTCAAAGTCTTGGAACAAACCAGCAAAATGATATAACACAATAAACTTTGGGTTAAACAAAATTATTTATGAATATCTTGCACACTTATAACAGAGTAACTTTGCTATCTAATGAGAATTTTTACAAGAGATGCAGTGGATTTTCAGAGAGCAGACACGCAATATTTTTAAATACTTAGATTGTTTACCATATTGAATTCTACCCTATATGGGAAGGGGTTTTAAAGAACAGTGGAAATAAAGCTCTTGCTAGTGATTCTTTTATTACAAATTGTATAGGGAAATTTAAAATTAAATTTCTTGTTTATAATGTCTAAGGTAGAATTTTTATGATTTTGATCAACATTCCTAGCTTTGTGGCTGTTTTATATATACATGTAGGTGCCACTCGTGTTGAACTGTGCTCCAATCTGATGGAAGGTGGAACCACACCATCTCTAGGCAGGTGAATTTTACCATAATGTGGAGTGGTAGTTGTAAATACTTTACTGTTACCACTCAATGTCTGTGCTTCTCATACATTTTGGTAGTCAATTTTTCTTGTTGGGATCAAGATCTTTTAACCCTTTTTCACTCTTAAATCTCAAGAGTAATTCTTTTTACTATCTGACATACAGTTCTTCTGATGTAAATTCCAAGAATCTGGTATTACAGTAACTGTAATTAAATACTCCCCTAACTGACATTTTCTTTTTATTCACATTGCTTGTCTTCTTGATACTGTATTGATGTAGTGTGCAGAGGGAGTTAAAGGGTTGAAATTCTTTTCCACTTTACAGTACTCTATTTAGTGACAATTTCAATACCTGAAGGGCTATAATATTTGATCATGGTGATGTTCACGGCAACAAAAAACAGCAAGAATGATCTCTGCTTTTATTCTCTTTCCTGTCTTAACTTTGATCAACAGCGTTGGAAATTAGCCCAAAATTACATGTTCCTAGTAAAAGCAAATATGTTAACTTAAGTTCGAAAAATGACTGAAAGAAGAAGGAAATAAGTTCCTTTTTTGCTATTCAAGTTTTGCTGTAAATATTGTACTTAATGTCTCCAGTATTTCTAGGTTCAAGTTGCTTGTGTGAAGCTTAAATATCTTATTTTTGCAGGAATGTTTAGAATTATCAAACAAAGATCACCAATTCCAGTGTTTGTAATGATAAGGCCAAGAGGAGGGGACTTTCTTTACACTGAGAATGAATTTGAAGTAATGAAGGAAGATGTCAAGATATTCAAGGAAGCTGGAGCAGATGGAGTAGTGTTTGGCATCCTTACAAGGTGTGTGAGTGTCAGAAATTTTTTAACTGCAGTCCTCTTTTATGAAGCTATTCAGGTAGAGCTGTATGCTCAGGTGAAATAAACTAAGAAAAACTTCAGTGCTTATAATTTCGGCATTTCTTAATTCATGTTATACCCTAATGTTAGCATTCATATTCTCCTTAGTTTGCTGTGTATATCCTTTAGTACTGACCACTGTCTTAGTGACAAGGATAACTTGTGTGACAGTCAAGAGCTTCTGAAATTGTTGATCATTTCTTTTATTCTTATGACTTTTATATTTGATTCAAGAGTGATACTGTAAGGTCAGAAGTTAGAAGCCAGTCATTCTTAGAGAGTTAAAAGGGTTATGGTGGCACTTCACAGCCAGTTGTACTACTCAGAAAGGAACTTTTATAGACTTCGCACCTAAACTTTACATTATTGGAATTCTTCAACCAATAAGGTCATGTGCTGACTTTTGCTCTACAACATTCAATTTGTTAAATAAGATTTGTAGGGAACAAAGCTTATAAACAGTGTGGTATAATATTTCAAGTACATGTAATTCTAGTTCTTACAAGATGTAAACTTTATCAGCTGTTAATCATTGTTTTAGACATTTGTTTACTATATTTAACAAACAGTCTGTAGGTGTTCATTAATACTTAGCTCTTAATTTATGTAATTAATTTGTTTCTCTGTTGTAAGTTATCAGAGGCAGATGCATGTAGATATTCTGTAAATAAACTATTATTATTATTACTGGTATTGTTATTAATATTATGATGATGATGATTATTTTCATTACATCATTGCTTTCATTATATTTAGAGTATTATTGTTGATGATAAATATTTATGTCATCCTTTAGTGAAGGGGCAGTGGACACATTGAGGTGTGAAGAACTCAGAGGTTGGGTTAATTTTTATTACAATTATGTATTTCTTCAATACAGTGTGGTAGCATGTTAGTGCAAGTGTCCTCATCTCTGCTATTTTTTAGTAAGCACAATGTAGAGAATCTCTAATATATATCAGTTTGTGTTTGTCGCAAAAACTAAGTGAGAGTAGGGAGAATTTAAAACAAGTATAAAACAGTTGAACTTAACCTCAGATAAAGGTCACTGGCCATTTTAGAAAGGAGAAAGGAAGCTTTTTAAGGGGGGGAGGGGGTAGTGATTCAGATTGGTAAAAGTGAAAATTATGGACTACTGTGGCATTGGCTACCATGATGAGCAGGTTCCCATCTAGAGCTGGCCATTTGTGGAGGTGTGACTCCATTTATCAATTAAAACCTCTGCTCTTGAGTAAGAAGCACTTTGCAATTCCCTTACTTTCCTACTCTGAAATAATATTATTTTAATTTAAAAAGGTATCAACTTTATTTTATTATGTTTCTCTGAATTTTTGATAATTGTCTTTTCCTCTTTGTTTTTGTTTAGATCTGGCAAGTCCACTTCAAGCTACTTTCCACAGAGGTAGTTCTCTCTTATCTTTTCTTTTCATACTTAGTGTTGAATATTCCAGAGTTAATTCTTTGTAAAGTATCAAATTTTTCATAAGATTTAGACAAGTTACTCAATGTTGGACTGTGTACAGAGGTTTATTTTTACAAACCTAACTCCAATACTTCAATATGTTTAAAATATTGAGTGTACCTGTTAGAAAAAAGTAAAGTAAACAAAATAATGTAAAGTAACACATGAAGTTTGATAAACCAGCTTTATTTCAAGCTATCTGATATATATATATTTTAGAAGTTTATTGATAAATGTTAGTTTGTTATTGAACCAT